ACGGCAGGCGCGGCGGCGGCGGGAAATAGCAACGCAGCAGCAGCGGCAGCGACGGCGGTGGGGCTGGGAGGTGCAGTAGCCTAAACGGCAGGCGCGGCGGCGGCGGGAAATAGCAACACAGCAGCAGCGGCAGCGACGGCGGTGGGGCTGGGAGGTGCAGTAGCCTAAACGGCAGGCGCGGCGGCGGCGGGAATTAGCAACACAGCAGCAGCGGCAGCGACGGCGGTGGGGCTGGGAGGTGCATTAGTCTGAACAACAGGCGCGGAGGCGGCGGGAAATAGCAACACAGCAGCAGCGGCAGCGACGGCGGTGGGGCTGGGAGGTGCAGTAGCCTAAACGGCAGGCGCGGCGGCGGCGGGAAATAGCAACACAGCAGCAGCGGCAGCGACGGCGGTGGGGCTGGGAGGTGCAGTAGCCTAAACGGCAGGCGCGGCGGCGGCGGGAATTAGCAACACAGCAGCAGCGGCAGCGACGGCAGTGGGGCTGGGAGGTGCAGTAGCCTAAACGGCAGGCGCGGCGGCGGCGGGAAATAGCAACGCAGCAGCAGCGGCAGCGACGGCGGTGGGGCTGGGAGGTGCAGTAGCCTAAACACCAGGCGCGGCGGCGGCGGGAAATAGCAACACCGCAGCAGCGGCAGCGACGGCGGTGGGGTTTGGAGATGCATTAGTCTCAACAGCAGGGGTGGCGGCGATGGTGGTGGGGCTAAGAGGTGCAGTAGCCTAAACAGCAAGTTCGGCAGCAGCGGGGCCTAGCAACATAGTAACAGCGGCAGCGACGACTTTGGGGCTGGGAGGTGCAGTAACCTCACACAGCAGGCGCGGTGGCGGCAGGGCCTAGCAACGCAGCAGCAGCGGCATCAATGGCAGTGGAACTGGGAGGTGCTGCTGTGTTGCTATTTCCCGCCGCCGCCGCGCCTGCGGTTGAGACTAACGCACCTCCCACATGTTTTAGCTAGTTACATCAACAATGCTGTGCCTGTCGGACGGTGCGAGCTGGTGATTTAACTTGTCATGCTTGAACACAGCAGGAGAAATTCTTTGTTAATTAAACATTAAATACATGCCTGAAGTATGTAACATATGACTTTCAAATTAACAACAGGGTGTAAGGGAGCTGACTGAGTAAGGATTGGCAACAGGCCAAAAGGAAGTTGGCTGCCTTGCCCTGCTAGCTGGCATATACTGATCTTTTCCGTTGGATAAATGCGGCTAAGCCTAAGGGCTTTGTTTACTGCCGCGCCTGAATGCATATCAAGTCACTGCAAGTGGCTGAAACGAAGGCAATTCAAGTGCACTCCAGAATCCCGGCAGGGATGCTGTATAGTACATTGTGCACATTGTTATAGAGGTAATATACTATGCAGCATTTCAGAAGGGATTCTGGAGTCCATATGGCATATAATTGTCACTTTTTAGAAAGGAACAAAACATGAACACAGAGCCAGCATATGACCATTGGGAACATGACTGAATTTACACATATGAGTGGCAATTCATGATCAGTCATGCTGCACAAGGAGCATGACAACTGTCATGACCATGACTCTGCCTCATGACCGGTAACATGACTGGTCATGAGGCCTCATGAGTGGTCATGAGGCAACATGACCAGATCTATGACAGGAAACCCCCTGCATGACCACATCCATGACCAAGTCGTTCCCC